AAGCAGTTGGGTGAGTAATTATCAATCACTTTTAAAAGTATTCATTGAAAATGTTCCCCTCTTTAGATTTTGTTCCGGGCTTTGACTCGGCCGCTCTGACACACGAATATGTCGTGATGGAAATCGGTTGTAACGCTGGCTGTATGTAGCTCCTCCAGGGTTAGCATGGTAACGTTTGTCTGCTTCTCTTATCAATACTGTCAGTTTTGGAGTAGCCTTTAAAAGTAAGTCGGACTAAAACATCAAACGACTTTTTCTAAATGATGATAAAAAAATTGGAGCCCATAATTTTATGTAATAGGGTTGATGGGTTTTTGTTGCTTTGAATAAACTGAAAGACTTTCTAGATCAAATAAATTGGGAAAAAAATACCCAGGAAACTGGCACATAGTTTTCCTAAAATATTACATGTCTAATTTCTGGATCAAAGAAATTTACATCAGAAATGATTTTGCCTCTGAGTAGTTTCAACTTTGGGATTCTCTACAACAATTCTGTGAAGAAAATTGTATGATGAGTTGCAACATTTAATTTTCCTCTGGGATTAATTTATTTATGTGATGTTCTTTTCCCCTCCAAAGACTTTTAAAGGTTCTGCCACATCCTTCCACGTCCAGAACCTGCAGTCCAGCAGCGACTACCGTTTCCGCGTGTGCGCCATTCGGCAGTGCCAGGACGCCACGGAGCTGAGCGGCCCCTACAGCCCCACCGTGACCCTCTCTCAGCAGCGGATCGACACGGCGCCCGGCGGCGGCACGGCGGGCCCCGGCTCCCGGACCGGGACGGAGTCCATCAGAACCAGACAGAGCCTCACGGACGAGCAGTGCGCCTTCCTCCTCCTCATGGTTTTCGCCGTAATCGCCATCCTCATCGCTTTTGTCATCCAGTACTTCGTCATTAAGTGAGGAGTCAGTGCCGCCCGGCTGCAGGATTATAGCTTTATTCTTCCCTCCTCCTCTCCATCTCTGTTGTTTTGTGTTCTCTGTTTTGTACTTTAACTGTTTTCCGGTTTGGATGGCATAATCACATTATCTGAAATGGGGAGCAGCAGCAGGATGTGTGTGTTTATAAATGGAGGATGTAACATCTCATTTGGCACCTGTGATTCCTTCCGGACTCTCCTGACTCTGTCACCTCTTCCCCAAAGTCGTGGTTTCAGCTCAGAGTTCTAACCTATAGCGATCAGCCGCCCGTGCAGAAGGAACTCTGAAAGCATTTTGGTTCATTTCAGGGGAAGATGGCACGTTTATTAAATGTATAGAAACTGTCCATATTTATATTTCCATTTCTGTGTGCAGTATGAAGCTGTTTTTTGATAGATGTGTCCCAAAAAAAATAGTTTGTAGGTTCTGTCTTTAGCCGACGTGCTTTTTGACTGTGGGACCTGAAGGGCCAGTGTTTGCACAGTGAGGTGTGTGTGCGTGTGTGTGTCTCCAGGTGTGTGTACTCTATGTAGTTCGTGCCACAGCTCAGACGGCTGGGATGGCTTCACGCCCAGATGAAGGAACCTAACTCCACACCCCACTCTACTCCAAGCGGGAGTCACAGAAAATCTCTTTCACATTACAGAGCGTTCATTTAGCACTTTTCAATCTTTCTCAAGTTCAGAATGTTCAAGGATGCAAAAACGACTGGAGAAATGTTCGTATATTTTTGTACAGCGAGGACACGCGGCTCGGAGGGTTTGTGGAGGAGAAAGAAAAAAAAAAAAGAATCAAAGCGTAAAGTTAGACAACGAAAACCAAACTAACATTGAATTATTTTTACTATCATATAGTTATACTGTAGCTTGTTTTTACAATCATGCAGCTGCTTTTCTCTTAAATATTGTCGTTCAGCACAAAAAATGTACGCTTTCTCATATGTTTTACTTTTGTTTTCTCCTTGGCAATTGATTTTTTTTGCACCTCAGTGGAAGAAAATCTTGACTGACTGCATTTGTTTTTGGTCTTGTGATGCATTTTATAGAGCACACTTTGAGATTGTGCAAGCCCTACTTGTGTTTTGGGTGTTTTAAAAGTCGTAGTATCGCATAACGTGTCACTGAAACAGCTCATCTATAAGCAGGAATAAAAAGAAGGAAAAAAAAATGTAAACCAGTTGTTTCAGAGGCCTTAATCGGAGAGGGGGGCAAAAAAAACAGTATCATTTTTTTTTCTTAATTTTCTCAAGTTTTGATGTTCTTTTTAGTGTTAGAAAACACTAAAATGTGTTTTATTTCCTTTTATTTTTCAGCATTCATTAGGAGTTAGTTAACATGTAATCCTGAGAAAAATGAAAAGTAGTTCTTTATATTTAGATTTTTTTTTTTTTTTTGGTTCCTTTTTTTGGTTCATACATGTGTGAAGTATATTTTTTTATAATATTGAAGTAATATATGTTAATACTCTCCACAGAAGATTAAAACAATCCTGAGTAGTCATGGATCATGGAATGCAAGTGATGGATACATAAATGTGTTATAATGCAAATCTAAAATTTGCCTTTTCTCTGTACGTTGAGTATTTGTAACAGATTGCTGACACTGGGTCGTCTTCAGTGGGGAACTGGCTGTAAGGTCTAGTGTTGTTTGGCAGATCTCCGCTGCTGCCGCTGTAAAAGAGAAAAAAAAAAAAAAATCTAGAAACGAAACGCAGGTACCTTGCAAAACATTCTGAGTAATTACATGATTTGGTCTTTCAGACGTTCTGACATCTTTTCTTTGTCACTGAAATGATTCAAATTCCTATTTTGATAGCGATTGCAAAGTGTGCCATTTTAACACCTTCTCCGCTGGGCTTGCTGCCTTTTGGCAGGAGAGATTTAAAAAAGGAAAAAAAAACACAAAAAATGAGTAAAATATGCACAAAAATAAAAGACCATTTTTATGTAATTTTAATGTTTGCAGTTACCTCATACACCGTACATTCCAAAAAGATTTGTTATACTATACATACTACCAGACATATCACTTTACAATGTTCGTTATGGAAAAAATGTATAATCATAGATATGTATCTAAAGTGTATCTGTATAGCCATGATATCTACAAAGGATCCATGCACAATAAAAGATTTATAATTCTTCATCATGGTTGAAGTTTGAGTGCCTCTCTTTGGTTTCCTTTTGCTTCTAAACAAAAACACCTGAAACATCTTTAGTGTTCAGTTTTACGTCAGTATTGAGACTTTATTAGTCCATGTAGCTTCGTTGTGTCATTTTCAAAGACTTGGAGGCGTTGTTGTGTTTTCCAGGCCCAATCAATTAAAAGTTATCTTCGGTTATAAAAATGCTATCTATACATGTCAAAGATGTCTAAGCGTAGCTCATTTGGTTTTGTATATCATCTATTTGGCAATTTTGTGGTTTAACTAATTTCTTATGATGTTTTTCATTCCTACAGTATAGTTGTTTGAACATATATAATGACAATAAATAATGGTGATGCACAGTTATTTATTTGATATTAGATCTCAACTCAAGAAACTACACCTGGAAGCATTTTTTAAATCATCCTGAACTATGGAGCGAAGCGTTCTATCAGAGGTTTTCAGAGTTCATCCTGAAAACTGAAAAAGATGCAGCAGCTCCTTCGCTCAGGCCGAACACGCCCTAATGGTGCAACCGCAGCCTCCGTGATGGATGAGGATGAAAGTGGGCTCGCTTCTCATTCCCTCTGCTTTGTTCTCAGCGTTGGCTCTTGGTGAGAGACGAATTGGAAACTCCTGAAAGAAAACACGGCGGTTTTCTCCAGTTGCTTTGACGTGAGCAAGCGGCAACAAAGCGGGCAGGAGGAGAAAGCTCCTGCTGACCCTCTGAGGTCTGAGTAGTTCATCCTGAGACGGGTTACTTCAGTTCACACAATAAACTCTGAAGTCGGTGTCTCTTGCTGCAAAGGCTCGATCATTTGGAAAAGCTCTGACTCAACAGTCACAGCAGACATGCAGTCTGCAGTGACGGATGCTGCTGTGGACATAAAAACGAAAGAAACCTGTTGATCCTGAACTAAAAATGCATCCATGCTTGTTGCACGAGCCTGAGCAGCCGGTTACTTTACAGAATCCTCTCCTAAAAGAAGGATAAAATTCAGAAACATGCTAAAGAATATTTAGCATGTTTCTGAAACCTGGTGTTGAATTGGACACTTTGTTAAAAACTAAAATGTATTATTAAAGAAACATAAAAATAATCTTTCTATATAAATTGTACACATTCGATCCTAACTGCTTTTAATATATACATTGTATTTTCTATTTCTAATTTAAAGCAGGAAAAATAGCAGTAGTTTGGATTTCAGTTTTTCCCCGAATCATGTATTGACCTTTATTAATATACCTTTTTTTTTTTTATCAATACTATGTATTACTTAGTTCCATAGTTTTATGCTGAGTTTGCGCTCATCCTTAATTCACTCTTCACCTCAATATCAATTAATTAATCAAACACAAATGGGTTTGCATTGATTAAAACAGAAAGGCTTTAAAATATATATATAAAAATAATAATAATTATATATATATATATATATATATATATATATATATATATATATATATATATATATATATATATATATATATACCCCACAACATATATATATATATGTTGAAAGTCAATAACTGAAATATATATCTTGTTGGAAGATGTAGATGAATTTATAAAATTGTCACAAATTAAACTTAGTATTTTTATTAATAATGATGATAATCTGATTATTTCATGTGGAGGAGAGCATTCATAATGGGGGTCTGGGGTTGCTGTATTGTCCTGTCAGCATTTGATTATGATCATTACTCATGCACACACACACACACAGCAGGCAACCCTCACCACACACACACACACACACACACACACACACACACACACACACACACACACACACACACACACACACACACACTGATGTTCCCTGACTCCTCAGGGTGTTGCACAGGAGGCGCTGCTGTCATTATCTCTCCGTGTGCCGTAATAGGACTCTGAGCATTAAGGCTGGCGCTGCCACTTCATGTGAACCCCCCTCAGCTGCTGCTGCTCCTGAACGCCACACGGAGACCAGAAAAAGTTGGGAGGGGCGGAAAAACTCGGTTTTCAGGTAAAGACAACAACAAATATTCATTCTTTTGACTTTTAGGGTTTATTTACTTATTTACCACAACAATTTATATCACATCTATTGCTATTGCATGTCGTCGTCATTTTTAATTTCTCCTACGATTTATTCCCTGCTGTACTGAACCGTTATTTGTTGAAAAATATTTGATGTTTAAAAGTTATCAATGTGAGTACAAAGTTTGTTCAGTGTGTGTAAAAGTTCAGTATAGAATATAGAAAATAATTTGAGATTAATTGTTTGAATCATATCTAAGGGCTCCATGCAACGGCAGGTCTCAACAAATTAGAAGTTCACCAAACATTTCATTTATTTTAGTGATTCGGCTACAAAAGAAAAACTTACAGATTGCAAAAAAAATCAGTTTGATTAAGATTCTTTCAGTATAAAAGCTGAAATCATTTCAATTCAGAAGACTAATAAAGTATTTGCAATACAAAAATCTTATCCATACATAGAAACTTTTTAAACTACTTTGAATAATTAACTGAGCTGAGTCGTAAGTGTTTTCTTTAATGTTTATTGATAATTTTAACAAAGTCACTTGACAAAATTATCAACATATTGAATATGCACTGATGATTTTCACAGTGGAAATTGACAAATGAAATGTCTCTTACTGTTTTTTTTCCTTACAATTCTTGACTATTTGACGTGGTTGTGATATTTTTATGATGAAAAGCACCTTGAACTGCTTTGTTGCTGAAATGTGCTGAACAAATAAACTTGACTTAAAACAAAGCCCTTGTTTGGTTTCCTCATCAGTTTTTTCTCACCACTGTAGCGTCCAGATTTCCCAGTGTGCCGTTCAGCAGTCAGTGGGACTGTTATGCCCTGGGCCCGACCTCCAGTTGACCTTCATGCTGGTGCAGCGGAGGCCATGGACCAGTACAACACAGACGACCACCACTACGAGGGCTCCCTGTTCCCCACCTCCACCCTCATCCCTGTTACGGTCATCTGCATCCTCGTCTTCATCATCGGAGTGACCGGCAACACCATGACCATCCTCATCATCCAGCACTTCAAGGACATGAAGACCACCACCAACCTGTACCTGTCCAGCATGGCGGTGTCTGACCTTATCATCTTCCTCTGCCTGCCCTTTGACCTCTACCGGCTGTGGAAATACGTGCCGTGGGTTTTCGGGGAGGCGGTGTGTCGCTTCTATCACTACATCTTTGAGGGCTGCACCTCGGCCACCATCCTCCACATCACCGCGCTGAGCATTGAGCGCTACCTGGCCATCAGCTTCCCGCTGCGGAGCAAAGTCATGGTGACCCGGCGCCGGGTCCACTACATCATCCTCGCCCTGTGGGGCTTCGCTCTGGTCTCCGCAGCCCCCACGCTCTTCCTGGTGGGGGTGGAGTACGATAACGACACACACCCTGACTACGACAAGGGTCAGTGTAAGCACACCAGCTATGCCATCAGCTCTGGCCAGCTGCACATCATGCTGTGGGTGTCCACCACCTACTTCTTCTGCCCGATGCTCTGCCTCGTCTTCCTCTACGGCTCCATCGGCTGCAAGCTGTGGAAGAGCAAAAGCGACATGCAGGGGCCCTGCACTCTGGCCCGGGAGAGGTCCCACAGACAAACAGTCAAGATCCTGGGTGAGTGAGGCGAAGGCAGAGGCGTTTTAAGTGAAACTTAACACTGCAGCAGAATTTAATCAGCCATGTTGAGCTCAATTTTTAAAAGTGACTCAGTGGAAACATTCCAGAAAGCTTAAAGTGCTTTACTCGAAGAGACGCACGCAATCAGTGAAATGGGAGAGAAATAGGGGAAATTCACAGGGTTCTTCCGCAGTCACGAATAAATGAACTGTTAGCTCAGATGAGAAGAAAAAATGAGAGAAAAAAAGAGAAAATGTTTCGTTTTGTTCATTCATCCATTCCTCCATCCATCATTGATTCATGTTTGTGGTCCTTACTTGAGTTTTGCTTTTTTTCCACCTTCAATACCTGGTGGTTTAGTCTATTAATTATTGGTTGACTACCTTCCAAAAACTAAAATCAATATTAATTGAAAGTGTGCTGAGCCAGAGCTGATTTAATATGATGAAATTGGATGAACCTGGATGAAAACAAGTAAAATTGTTGCATTTACTGATTTTATAGTTTTTCTTTTTTTTTTTTTTTAATTATCAGATAAATAAATTAAGACAATAACCTTAACAGTAGATTTTTCAAACCTCCACAGTTCCTCTCTAATTAACCAAAAGGTAATCCTCAGAATCTGCACAAAAGATTTGTTTCCACACCGTTTCACACCATGTAAGTCATCCTTATTTCCTGCTTTTCATCCCCTGAAACTAAAACAAACAGATTTTGGTAATGACAGCATGCTAATCTTGCCTTTGTAGGGGAAAGGCTTTTAAAGCTGAAATCCACCTGTTTGCACAGTCAGTTTGCCTTTCAGCGTGGCTGAGGCAGTAAAAATGCCAGCCTGACAGACTGGAATCCAGGACTTCTGGTTTTCTGCCCCATCAGGAGCATTATCCGGCGGCCCCGCCGGGCGTCATGCACCACCACGCTGCAATCTTTGGCCCTTGACTTGATGAAGAGAGAGAGCTGGTGCCATGTGCTCCGTTGTTGATATGATCTGGATAATTAGTCGGTTTAGTCTCAGGCTAATCATGTCCTGCCGCTGCGCATGCTGATTATCTTAATTTGAAGCTGTGGAACATTGCGCGGGATGTGAAAGAGCGTGACCATACCAGAGCGTCGTTTCCAAATGTTTCATCAGGATGCATCCATTATAATATTACTGCAGTCCTGGTAGCTTTTATTTTAATCTGTGTTCTTCTGTTGTAACTCTGGCATCCACTCAGTCTGTGCCGACTGTTGTTTTTAAGTAATTAGGTCAGACACACCTCCCTTTAATTACAGGACTGACATTTACTGTCCTGACAGAAATTAGTGCCTCCATTAGAAGCTGATGAGGGTTTTATCTGCAGGGGCTTCTTGATCAATACTGGTGACTCAGTGATTAGCTCCCACATCAGTCAGTGTGTTCTTCGCTGGATGTATGGCGATTATTCTGCCTGCTAGACATTTATCCTCTAGCTGACTCCTTTACTTCCATTTTTCATGAAAAATAAATAGTGCTACTGTTGAAGTTGGCTGCATGCTGCTGCATTGCTCGCAAAAGCATACATACGCCTTGAATTTTTTTGTTACGTATATTCTTTATTTTTATCTGGTCTCGAGTGACGAATCAACACAATTTTTTATTTACTTATTTATTTTTTGCTTTGCTTTTCTTAATTGGTAATCTTAATCCATCTGGGTGTATGTCTATATTTACTATACAAAACCATCCCCTCAGCTTGACCCTTCCATCCTTTACTAATGCTTCGACAGCCCTTCAGTTTCAGCTCCTCCAGACGTGCAGCGGCTGCCATTAACAAACCTATGGTGGAAGCTCATCATGCAAACTACTCCAAAGCTCAGGGCTCCTAAGAACCGTTTGTAAATGGCGTAATGAGGACTATTATCTTAAAGAGACAGAGGCCAATTTCAAGGTGCCAAATTATGAGGTCAAATTTATTTTATGACTAAAAAACAGCATTTTTCTGACTGAGGGCAACATAGCTGTGTGCTGGCAATCCTGTCAGATGACTGACTGTTGAGCGCTTGTTTCACAGACTTGAAAAAAGCTAGCAGTCAAATCCTTCTGTCATGTCCAAAAGGATGGTGGCGGAGACCCAACTGCACTTAATGGCTTTTTAAATTAGTTGAAACCATCTGTCTTGTTTCCAAACTTAATTTATTTTGTTCTGTTTTATGCTTTGGTTCCTTTATGGTCCGTACTGTAACGTTTTGCAGTGAAACAAACACTTGCTGACTGATTTTAGCTCTTTAGTTCTCGTTGGCTACAACTTTAAGAGTTGTTTTTTTCCTGTCTTGCTTCTTGTTCTGATCCATTTTGTCTTCTGCCTTTCAGTGGTGGTGGTGCTGGCCTTCATCATCTGCTGGCTGCCTTACCACATCGGGAGAAACCTCTTTGCCCAGGTGGACGACTACGAGACGGCCATGCTCAGCCAGAACTTCAACATGGCCTCCATGGTGCTCTGCTACCTCAGCGCCTCCATCAACCCGGTCGTCTACAACCTCATGTCCCGGAAGTACCGGGCTGCAGCCAAGCGCCTCTTCCTGCTGCACCAGCGGCCCCGGCAGGCCGGCCGCGGTCAGAGGCAGCTCTGTATGATCGGTCACATCTCCACCCGGAATGAAACCCTCACCGGGGTCTGAGCTCCTCTACGGTTCAGGGTTTAAGATCAAAAGAGGATTCTCAGTGAGGATGTGCAGAAAACAGGATGAGAGGGGAAATAAGGCTCTTCAATGCAAAAAAAAAAAAAAAAAAAAAAAATCTGGCATTTCTTAATGGCCTTCTGATTATTATAATCGCTTCTAATGTCACAGTATAGTTCTTGAGATACCTTTATGCAGTCACTGTTCAGTATTATTTACATCTGATATATATCTGTAAATTCAGCTCACTTATCTCCGTTGTTTTTGGGTTACATTAGAGTTATGAGACTGGTTGTTATTAGGAGGAATGTATGACTGTTTATGGGTCATTTATACGTGTTGGTGTTTAGCTAGGTTTTCTGTAATGTACAGTGAGTTAATTATGTTGGTGAATATTTCTTCCTTTTCATATTATGTCATGCTACCACCACAAACTTCGATGTATTTTCAGGATTTTAGGTTAATTTTGCACCTTCACCTTTAAGTTTCGGCTCATTTTTCTTTGCAGCATAGTTCAAGCTCAGTTCAATTCATCAATATTTATGTGTTCCTACAGATTCTTAGTGAGATTTAGGTTGCTACTTCAACTAGGCCATTTTAACAAGTGAATATGCCTTAATGTAAATCTCTGCATTCTTGCTCTAATTGCATATTTTGGATTGTTACAGTAATAAAAGGTTCAGTTCCATCTCCACATCATGATGCTGCCACTGCCATGTTAGCTCATGAGCATGGCGTGTTCAAGGTCATGTGCAATGTCACTTTTCATCCACACAAAGTATTTTAAATGTAGGTCAGACTTTAAATGGAATTATTTTTTTTGCAACAATCCCCTCCTTCTTGTTTTCAGTTTCAATCCCAGTTAGACTGCATGGAGAAAAGCATTCACTCAGCATGATGCCACCACCACCGTGTGCCACTGTGAGAAAACATGGTGGTGTCAGTGTAGAATTAGATGCAACATGCAATTGGGATTTTCATTTTCATTTCTCTTTCGCATGAGCCAGACATGTTCAGTGTCAACAGAATCTGCTACTTTAAATAGCCTTTTCTTTTTTATTCACATGATGGGTGGAGCCATCATCCAAATAGGAACTTTTGTTTTTGTTCCTCAGTCTTCATGATGCTGTTTTTTTCTTTTCTTTTTTAAATGTTGCTCTGAAAAATTGACACCTTCACAAATGCTCTCTGGTGGCAACTGTTTGTATTTTATTTAAGAGTGTAAGAGTAAAGAAGAGTGAAGAAGGCTAAATACAAAAGCACACCACACTTTTCAGATTTTCATAGGTGAAAAATATTTAAAATCATGTCAAATTTGTCCTCATCTTTACAGTTCCGTATCACTTTTGCTGGTCTAGCACAGGAGTCTGCAACCTGCAGCTCTTTGGAGCGTCAACTGTGGCTCTTGCAAAACCAAAAAGGAAATCTTTTTGGTTTTGAATCCAATGCAAACTAGTCATTTTAGGAGTAAGTTCTTATGCAAAATCTGCTTTTAACATCTACAACTAATTTCAAACTATGCTGCCTATTTCAGCCCATTTTAAATAGTCATTGAAAAGGCTCATGTCATTCTACTTTTTTTTTCTTCTGTACAGAATTCACTTTGTATAAACATCTCAAAATATAAATACACTTTGGTTTACATTTGTTAACTTTCACAATTCACAGCAGGACAAACACATTTTTAATCATACCATTTGTTTAAGAAAGAAAACGACAAAATAAAGCTACCAGCAGGTTTTTAATAGCGTGATCTTGAAAGCGAGTGTGTGTATGTGTGTGAAAACATTGAATATATACTTGATAAAAGCATTTTAAAATCAAAATGTGGCACCTTTGGTCTGTGAATGTGAGCTCGTGTGTGAGACGCTGGTGCCACCTGAGCCCAGAGGTCTGAGGCCTGCGTACGTGCCGGCTGTCGCATGTAATCTGTCACAGCTATTATATTAAATGTTCTCTGGGTTGCATGTATGCCTCCAGCCAACGTCCCTGCATCACCATATTCAAAGTAACAGCTGCCCTCAGTGCTTTTCAAAGAAAACCACAGAGGCTTAGAACGATTTCTTTTTCCACAACTTGAGTCATCCCATCACTTTGGGCAATTTATTTATTGAATCAGAAGTTGTGGTCTTTTGCATCTCATCTGCTCCTGGTAGGAGTGTAATGTTTGAATTACGTGTTCCATCCTGAAAAGAGAAAGAAATTCTGACCCAGAACAACCTTGAATTTTCTTTGTCGACGTCTCGGCTGTCATGCGTCTCGTTTTTATTTTTTTTTGTGAGGAGCTGTCAGGATTTTGCCGATGAATCATCAGGCCTTGGTTTGCGCTAATACAAAGAGACGCAGTCGTTCTGGGCTGACTCATCCACTCTTTTTTTGTTGTGTTTTTTTTTAAACAGAGTAATTCAGCTCTTTGCAAGAGAAGCTAAAGGAGCTTGTTAAAGCTCATATCTCACAGCGGACTAACCTGAAATCACCCAGGGGAAAGATCAACAAGCAGCATGACCCTTCTCTGGTTTTTTTTGCTCTTTTTTCTTTCTTTTTTGTTCAGATAATGAAGAGCTGCTACAAGTGGTCTGTCGATATACCTGCCCTGGAGCCTTCCAAAATTCATTTCAAATTTATGACTTATCTAAAAAAAAAAAAAAAAAATGTCCTAATTTACCCACTGCAGGCGATGCCACACACAGAGTTTAGAAACACTATTAGACAAAAGTAATTCAAATTCAAAAATACTTTATTGATTCCAAAGGGAAGTGAAATGTTGTATCTCATATTTTCAGGATTTCTTAAAGAGGTTTTGTAGATGCTGATGGCTGTGGGCAGACAGGATCAGCTGTAGCAGTCTGTGTTGCAGCACAGAGTCGTTCTGAATGAAAACCTGTTGCAGTGCGCTCTTTACCACAGACTGGGGTAATGTTTCATTTTTCTGCAGGACAATGACTCAAAGCGCTTTGCATTTCTTCATCCAACGTGCCATTAAAATGATATTAGCGCAGATATTTTTATTTTTAAAAATATGTGTAAGCACAACTCCATCTTTGTTACTAAGTGTTAATTAATAACTCAATTTTTAAGGTCTAGAAAGACTTTCCCTTTAAACTCCATGGAAACAACTTGGATGCTCTGCTCTCTAGAAACAGGGTTTGAATGATTAATGAGCAAGGACTGAAAGGGTGAAAAAAATTCCTCCACTCTGTTCTTGAACATGGTGCAGGATCTGTGATGCTGTGGGCCTGTTTCACTTCCAAACGTCTGGTGAACATTGTTAGAGCGTTTAGAGTTTTCTTGTAAGTAAACAATAATAAATTAACCCCAAGGCTGATTTTATCAACATGAACAAACTTAAAGACATCTTAGATTTTAAAGAAAAATTCAAAAAATACTAGTAAAATGACTTAAAAACTTGAATAATTAATTTTGAAATATGATGGCTCAACTGGGCTCTATAGTTATTTTCCTTTCTTTTATTACAGTGTCGTTATATTTCCCACCACCAGAGGGCGGCAAAGTTTGTGCCAGTTACAGAAAAACGCAGCAGAAATCAGGGATTTTAAATCTTAAAAAGACAGTCAGATGTAAAGTAAAACAACGAGCATATAGTGAATCAAAATACACACATTTCTTTACATACAAATATATTTTAATCTGTAAAAGAAATATTTTTCATTTATCCTTTAAGACATCTTTATCAGTTTCTCCTTCCAGTTTACTTCCGCAAATTATGATGAGCACAAACTGTTTTCCTGTTTTGCTCCCTCAGCCTTGAGCGTGACTGGGTGAAGCTGAAGTAAAACCCAGAACATTCTTCAAGCACCACAGAACCTGGACTTTACTGTCACTGTTTTGTTTTTTCTTCTTCTTCTTCCATTCGGCTCCGTGCTGCTGTCTCCTTTTCTCATCCCTTCTCTCTATTTCAAAAGCTTTTCCCACCATAAAATGACTGTGAGGTCATTCATCTCAAACCTGAACAGTTCACAGTGAACTCTGCAACAAGGCGATGAGTAAAAAAAAAACGAAAAAAAAGCTGAAATTATTATCTGTAAACAAGATGCACTCTCTGCCGCCTCCTTTTCCTGACTTTTCTCAATATTTTTGAACTATAAATAAGAATGAAGCTCATAGTTTTACAATTTTATTAGCAGAAACTGACACATGAAACCCTCCAGTAAGTAAACAAAGCAAAAGACATGTTACACATTTTATTAACTTTTACTGCTCAGTAAGAAGAAACACATGAGCAAGAAAGGTCAGACTGGATTTTATTTTCTTACTTTGGTTGAGTCATAATAAGCTCCCTCATTAGCAAAACTGCTACACTGCTTTCATAGACTTAAGCTTTTTTTTTTTGTCAAAGGTAGCAAACGTCTCCTTCATATTTAACTCTAACTTTTAGTCAATTAGAAGAGTTTGAAACAGGAGGGAGAGGCTGAGGAGTGGCAGACAGCTCTGTGTGTGGGAGCAGATAGAAAATAAAATAAAATTAAATTCAAAATTAAACATTTTTTGATTTAGAACCTTACATTTTTGTAAAGGTGTAGCAGAGATTAGATCGTCAACCTGAACAAAACTCGTATCTAAGCAACGTTTGAATTGTTGTTTTAGTTCTCAACAGGTTATTTACTTAGGAAAACATGTTTGATATGCATTACAGGTCATTTTTGGTCCTGCAGCTTGAAAGTGGTTTAAAAACTGTCTAATTTTTTTGTTTATGGGTGAATAAGTACTAGGAAGAATTTCAGTTCTTTTTAATCTACTCACTCATAGACAACCTTTATGTCAGTATACTGATCACTTTATTGTTTTTCTGTGTTCCCAAAAACGACACATCCATAAAATACATGTATTATTAAGCAGACAGTGTCTACACATCATCACTTATACTACAATTGTTTTTAAGAAAAGCCTAAAAAATCTTCTTTTTTTTGTCTTCATAGCTGTTTGCATGTGAATTGGCGTTAAAGAAACACATCAGAGTCATTTATTCTCGCTGTATCGGCCCTATATATGAATACGCTGAATTGAATTGAACTTTGCATGACTTCTGTTTATAAATAACCAGAATTAAGCAA